CGTACAACAGAGGATAAAGCATACAGATTGGGGCTACATGGGAACAACAGAATCTGTGTTCTCTAGCTGGTAGAAAGAAGGGACTGTGAGTCTCCTGCCTCAAATTATGGGCTACCATGGCCCTCTCACATCCATGTGGCATAGCAGAGGAGAATCCAATCTTTGATCCTCTTGTAGAATAAATAATAGCTGCTTTCTGAGACTCTCCTAAGAATTTGAGCAATTTTACATGAAAAATGTTTAAAAGAGGAGTTAGAGAGATACATCAGGGGTTAAGAGCACTGGCTCACTGACTGCTTTTGTAGCAGAGCCAGGTTATCTCCAGAGCCCACATGGTAACTCACAGTCATCTGCAACTCCAGGTCCAAGAGGTTCAATGCCCTCCTCTGTACTTTTCAGGCCTGCATGGTGCACAAACATACATACAGGCAAAGTAGTCATACACATAAATCCAAATTAGAAAAGTAAAATGTTTAGCAGACTGCAAAACCAAGGTGCTGTGGAAATAGAACTCATTCACTAGTTACCCCCAAAGTGTTTGCATTAACAGAGGATAGATGGACTCTGTAAGATTCTAAGCACAAGAGTGTCCTATGGGCCAGTGGTCCAATGTCACTCTTAGTGATACTGATGAACATGTAAAAGCTCAGTGAGAACACGAATCTGGTCTTTGTTGATACGTGGCCCATAGTAGGTGTCAATATGTCTTCAATATGGATGGAAGAACAGATGGACACATGGGCCAAAATCAAAATCCTTTAGTTACAATGAAGACTTCCCCATGAAAACTGACCTCCAGCATCCTGGTCTCAGGAAACCAGCCTGCAGGTACCATGCTGCCCTAATGCTACTTCTCACTCTTCAGGACCAGCCCACCAGTCCCATCTCCTACAGCCTCAGATCCTGTCTGAGCATCACTTCACTGCCATTGCTTAGGTCTTGGACAGTTCTCTTCTGGACTCCTACACCACATGGAAACTACTCTCCAAACCTCCAGTCTGCATTTTTGAAGTACTTCTTGAGCAAGTATGAGGACCTGAGTTCAGGTCCCCAGCACCCACACAAGGGAGGAAGAAACTAGCTGATGCCTGGCGCTTACTGGCCAGTCAGTCTGGACAAAACAGTGGACTCCAGATTCAGTGAGAGGCCCTGCCTCAAGACATAGATGGAGAACAATAGAGGAAGACTGCTGACATCACGTTCTGGCCTCCACACACAATGTACACACACACACATACTCACGCACACACACACGCACACATGCACACACGCACGCGTGCACACACACGTACCTGAACATACACAGGCACATGCTCACACTAACATGTATATAAACCATACACACAGGTCTTTAGTGTTACCATCCTGCCCTCACTCCTGCTCAAGGGTGGCCTGTGACTTCCTGTAGGCTTCACGGTCAAGCCCAAACACTGGCATGTCCAGCCTACCTCTCCAGCTACGACTAGCCAGCACCCCCATTCCACTCCTACTTGAGTTATGTGTCCCCTTGGCAAGTGCCCTGACTCATTTCCTAGGGTTATGGTTTGGGTGAGGTCTTTCTTCACCAAAACTCTATTTAAGGTTTGTTTCCAGTATAGCAAGGTTGAGAGGAAGCAGGGCCTTTGAGGGAGCCTTGGATCATAAGGGACCTGCCATCAGGAAGTGTAGCTTGCCCAAGAATGAGTGTCTGTGAGAGTTGTCATAACGCAAGTACAGCTTCCTTGGTTCACTTTTGTTTCCTCTCGGCATATGCCTGCTTTTCCTGTTTGCTTCTTAGCTATGTTATGGCCCAGCATGAGATCTTTAGCAGAGCCAGTGCCTTGTTCTTGGACTTCAAGCTAAGCAAACCTCTTTTCTTTATAAGCTGACCCACTCTAGGAGTTTTGTTACAGTAATGGAAATGAGACAAAGACCCCTGGGCTTCCTCCTCTGCCTAGAATGTGGGCCCTTTCTCTTCTCTGTTTCCTTACAATCTTCTGAACCCTAAAGACACTTGTCCTGACTGCTTCTGAGACCATTAAGAACTGAGTGTCTTTCCTTCTGTAAACCCTAGTGCTTAGCCCATCACAAAACAGCCTCCTTCCTTGTCCTCTTTCCAAGGTGCCTGGTTCATGAAATCTATATTTTGTTATATGTCACAAATCCCTCCCTAGTCTGTAACATGACTGAATGAGTGTTATGTTAATGTTTTTTAGGTTTTTATTTGTATATGTATTTTATTTATTTGTAGAAATTTATTTATACCATGGTGTGTGTAAGAAAAAAAAAAAAAAAACAGAGAACAACTTTTAGAACAGCATGCAAGTCCCAGGAATTGAACTCGGGTCATCCAGCTTGGTGGCAAGCACCCTTACCCACTGATCCACAGCTTGAACCCCATATTAATATTTTGCTTCATATAAAACATGCAATTCAGTTTCTCAGAAGCATATTTGTCATCATATCATGTCTTTGACCAACCACATGAGCAAGCCAGAGAATTAACTGGGGATTAGGATGTGGTCTATGACAGTTTTTAAAATGTATTAAATTAAATATGAGGAGAACAAATCTTTAGCCAAAAGTCAAAACATGTGATCTAACAAATATGACTGAGTATTTTCCTTCCCAAAGCATATAAATACATAAAGCCCACAGCGATACAGTCAGGCGGGTCTGTGATTTTTGCCTTATGGTGTTATCCAAATACACCAGCTGACAACTGTGAAATAGCAATGCTAAGAGTGAGTCCTGTCATCTCATTCAGATGTCTCCACCATCCTGAGAAACAGATCACTTTCACTTGCTGTTTTACAAAAGAGGAGATGGGATTTAAAGAGGTTAAACATCCTGCCAAAGGCCACACAGCCACCCGTGGATGGGTAATCCAGTTGGTTCTCTTATTCTGAAGTGCTGACCTAGTCTTGACCTCCTAACCTCATTAGATCATCAAAAGAGCCACTTTGGGGCAAAAATAGCCATGGCTTCCGGAAATTTTTATTAAAACTCTAAATCTCCAGGCAATAACTTTCAGAAGTCATGATTCAGACCAGCAGTGATGCCTGAAAACAGGCTCGAAGGGCGGGCGAGTCTCCCACTACAGAGCCCCTAGTACTGCTGGGAAGGAATGCAGGATCCTGACGTTTAGAACCACCTGTGTTTCCCCGTTACTTGGTCTGTAGCCATCACTGCAGCTGAAAGCACTGTCCTTCCCTTCTTCTGAGGAGTCCTCTCTTTCAGGTTCAAGTAGTTCCATATTTGTCAACAGTTTCCATAGCATCTGGAGCCCTGGCCCTGTCCACTGGCCATAAGCATAATGGTCATCTGGACACCCATAAAAGTACATGCTCCTGGACTCCGCTCCACAGCTGTCAGAGTCTACAAATCAAATGCTGGCAACAGCCTTTCAACCAATTCCCCCAGGGAATTCTGAGGGTTGCTGATACCTGAGAACCAGTTCCCAACCAGCAGTATCAACAGCTTGCTAGAGAGAGGGGACTAACCCAGAATCTCATTTTGAACAAGATCCTCAGGTGAGACACCTATACACATTTCCGGGCCCAGAAACAGTAATGTGGGACAGTGCTACATCCTCAAGTGTTTCCCATTGTAGCAGGCATAGGAAATGAAAATACTTCCAAGACTCAGTGGAGGTACAGTTGAGAATGCCAGCTGGAACATGGGGCTCAGCCTGCCCCAGACCTCATGTGCTACCCTGGGTTCGAAAAAGCAATGACTCAATGCAACCCATGCAATGGCACAGCCGGCTGGCACTGGCCTACAGTACTCCCGACTCTTCTCAGGGTGCTTATGAAGCACAATGACCTTCACTTTTCCCTACCTGTTGTTTATTTATTCTCACACACATCAAGAGTCAGAGAGGCAGCTGCCCAACAAGCTGGATCTTAGAAATCTTCATAGGGTAGAAGAATACAGTTCTAGGTGAACTACTGGACAAACACAGAAAGTGTGGCTGGTGGGCAGATGAATCAGCCGCTACGCCAGGGAAGAACCAAGAGCCTCTCACCTCTGAAGAGTATGCTTTCTCCCTGGTCCACAGAGCTGAGGATTAGCAACCATCCAGGAGGCTCTCTCTGTCCTGAGTGCCTCTCTGTCTTAACTCTTCCTTAACAAAGCCTATCTGCCTGTAAGCTGGACTGGTGTCCCCTCTCTTAGCCAGCCCCTGCTGATGGGATGGCAGCTGGGGTGGAAGAAACCAAAGGGACACTTCTGCTGAAACTGACTAAGCAAACCACAGTGTCAGGGAACCCACCTGACTCCAAAAGCACCCCATTCGTAAGCACCCCAATGATTGATTTTAATTGCTGTCTGTCTTCTAAAGAACGCTAAAAATTTGTAATGCTCAGATGGGAAAACACCTACTTTGAAGCAAGTCTCTAAAGAAGGGCTGTGTGGCCTGTAACATACACCTGGGAAGTCAGTGGCCACTGCTCCGGAGCAGCCCACCCTCATTCCTTCTCTTTCCAAATCTGTATTAATTCTGTCACTCTGCTTCCTCCAAACAGAAGCTAGACAGCGCATCATATACTGGGTCTGGTTTGTATGGAGCTCCCCTCATCTGTCCTAAGACTGTATGTCTCTTAAGTCTCGAAAGGCTGCTTGGTCTTTCTTTGTACACTAACCATGCCCAGAATGGAGCTCTACACTGATGTTTAAAAGGCAGTAAGCAGGGGATGCTGCCATTTGCTCCCTCCAGCTGATGTCCCTTGATGCAGTCCATAGGACAGCTTGCCTTTCCTGCTCTCACCAGGAACCTCAGGGTACAACTAGCAGTTCTCTCGGAGTCCGTTATGTCCAAGACATGAGCAGATTTTTTTCTTGTTTCTGACAAGAACATGTTGATAAATTTTCTATTCCTTGATAATCAATTGACAAGTGTTGCAGTGTAAGATTGGAGAACTTGGGGGCTTGGGCCACATGGGCCAAAGAACAGAGCTATTTCTTAGGACCAGTTCAAGTGCAGAATGTTGATTGAAAACGTCTCTCTGCTTCATATCCAGGATGAAGAACAAGCTGTGGTATTTTGAATTTGGTACCTCGGAGACATTTGCGGCCACCTGCAAGAAACTCCATGACCACATAGAGCTGGAGGTAAGTCCAGTCTATCATATAGACCTCCCCAGATACCTATATGACCCCACTTAGAGGACTCTGATCATTGGTGAATTCCTTCTTGGGGCTCTACAGGCATAGTTATTCTGACCCTCAGCCATGCTTCCCCACTTAAAGAGACAGTTACCACCAAATGAACAAGGGAAGCAGGATGCTGGGGGGAGAGGGTGCTTACTGTGGCCATGACACAGCATGGGTGGTGCTCATCCATCTGAGCATCTTCAGTCTCCCCTTCCTCAAAGAGCTGACTGGCAGATGCCTGGGGGGGCGGGCAGTCCTGTGGGTGTGTAGCCTGTACACAGTCACAAAGCTCCCTGTGAGCTGAAGCGCCCTTTTGTCGCCATCTTGAAACTCTGAGTATTTTTTTTTTTTTAACAAAGAGCTGTGCGTTTTCAGTTTGAACTGGGCCCCACAATTCCGCGGCTCATGCTGCCTGTGTACTGTGTTTCCCCAGCGCTTGTATCAGCCTGCCTCAGACAGTTTGCCTGTTGGCGCCCCTTGCCTGGCTGATGAGCTCGCCTGCTTCCTGCCCCACTTTTGCTCTCCTGAAGTCTTCTAGCCGACTGCCAGGAGCATGTCTCTGGCCTATTAGAGACCAGATTGCTATGCACACCTGCTGTCTTTACTGGCTGGGCCTCTGCCCATGGGTTCTTTACAATCCCACCTTCCCCTGGAATTCAGGCCTGCAGTGTGCTTTGCACTTGAGAAAAACATATCCAGGCAGGTGAGGAAATCTCCTACCATCTCCCCCAATCCTGAAAAATAAAAAAATCAGGTCTAGAAGCCACTGTGAGCCATGAGCCTCTATTGAGGCCTAGCCATCCCTCTGATAGAAGGATTAAGCCTGTGGCAGAGTGGGAAGGTCCTGACACTCCCTGCTGGAAAGGAGGCTGTGCCCATGCTCACCGGGAGAGTTCACAAACACAGCCAGAAGCTCCACAAGGCTCTCTCTACTTGACTCATCTGCAGGCCTCTGCTTTTTGGTTGCTGGGTTACTGACACCATGGTAAGAGGCACTTCTCTGCCAGCTTGGCTACAGGGCACAGAGTTCCAAAGGCCAAGAACCTGTGTCTCCAAGTGATAAATGGCTGAGGCCACCTACACCTGGGAGAACCTGAGCGGCCAGCCCTCCTCATTTATACGTAAACACACTGCCTGGGAGCCATAGCTGAAGGAGCTGAGTGTGGCAAACAGATTTGTATGCATCTCCCTCTTGGCACCATCCTCCGTTGGGGTCTCTTATTTAAAGAGGGACAGCCCTGCCTAACCACGGCCAGCTGCAGACACACTGCAAGTCCTTGTTCTCCCTGCAGCTGGCCTGGACACTGTGCCCAGAATACAGCCGCTCAGCTCCCCTGCCTTTTTGGACCACCCCACTGGCTCCAGGCTGGCCATGCCTGAAGGTCCCCTTGGGGTCCAGGATACAAGCGGCACTTCCTCAGCCATACAGGGAATTGGTGGCCTGGGTGGCAAATGGCCTCAGGAGTGGGTGGGCTGTGGAGCTGTGGCTTATTATACCTCTTTGTAATTGTTTTTAGCATTTATTCATGAGAGTAAGGTTCAGGAGTCGGGGCTAGGATGTCGTGTGACTCTGGGTTGGCAGTGGATTGGGACAGGCACCATTTCTGCATCCAGAGGACAGTAGATAGTCCCAGGTGTTATGATCGAGAGGAAACTGACAGAGGGTAGAGCAGGTGAGCGACAGGTGTTCGAAGTAGGGGATCATCAGAAGGAACAAGTAAGTGATACCAGTAAGCAGCCAGTAAGTGGCCTTTTCTGTGTGGCTGCTGCTGGCAAGAGCGCATGCACTCACCAGCTCCAGGTCAGCCAACCTGGGAAGACTCCATTCAGACACCATTGCCCTTCTCCACTGTCTAAACCAAACAGCATGGAAATGTGCTGAGCCTGGCAGGGTTAGAAGAGTAAAAAGAAAGGAGGGACAGAAAAAGTCAGAGCTTCAACTACTGGTCCTAACATGTCAATGTTTCACATGACAACCCATGGAAACAAGCACTATTACCCCCCATCTTTATGATAATATTTTTTTTTAATTTGAAACAAACTTATTTTACATGTCAGACCCAGTTCCCTCACCCTCCCCTCCTTCCCTGGTCAGTTAACCCCCATCCCATCCCCTTTCTGCTCCCCAGGGAGGGTGAGGCCTTCCATGGGGAATCTCCAAAGTCTGCCATAGCATTTGGAGCAGGGCCTAGGCCCTCCCCCTGTGTCTAGGCTGAAAGAGTATCCCTAGTATCCCTCTATGTGGGATGGGCTCTCAAAGTCCATTCCTATACTAGGGATAAATACTGATCCACAACCAGAGGTCCCATAGACTGCCCAGGCCTCCTAACTAACACCCACATTCAGGGGGTCTGGGTCGGTCCTATGCTGGTTTCCCAGATATCTAACTGGGGTCCATGAGCTCTCCCTTGTTCAGGTCAGCTGTTTTTGTGGGTTTCTCCAGCCTGGCCTTGACCCCTTTGCTCATCACTCCTCCTTCTCTGCAACTGGATTTCAGGACTTCAGCTCAGCGTTTAGCTGTGGGTGTCTGCTTCTGTTTCCATCAGCTGGATGAAGGCTCTAAGATGGCATATAAGTTTGTTATCAATCTCATTATTGGGGAAGGCCATTTAAGATAGCCTCTCTACTATTGCTTAGATTCTTAGTTGGGGTCATGGTTGTAAATCTCTGGACATTTCCCTAGTGTCAGATTTCTCTTTAAACCTATAATGGCTCCTCTATTATGGTATCTCTTTTCTTGCTCTCCTCTATTCTTCCCCTGACTCAATTTTCCTGCCCCTTCATAGCCTCTTCCCTCCTTTCCTTCCCTTCTCTTTCTCCTAACTTACTCTCCCCTCCCCCCCATGCTCCCAATTTGCTCAGGAGATCTTGTTCTTTTCCCCTTCTCAGGGGGACTGTGTGTCTCTCTTAGGGTCCTCCTTGTTTCCTAGCTTTTCTGGCTCTGTGGATTGTAGGCTAGTAATACTTTGCTCTATGTCTAAATTCCATATATGAGTGAGTATATACCATGTTTGTCTTTTTGTGACTGGGTTACCTCACTCAGAATGATTTCTTCTAGTTCTATCCATTTGCCTTCAAATTTCAAGATTCTATTTGGTTTTTGTTGTTTTTGTTTTTTGTTTTGTTTTCCACTAAGTAGTACTGCATTGTGTAAATGTACCACATTTTCTCCATCCATTCTTCAGGTGAGGGGCATTTAGATTGCTTTCAGGTTCTGGCTATTATAAACAATGCTGCTATGAACATAGTTGAACAAATGTTCTTGTTATATGAATGTGCATCTTTTGGGTATATGCCTAAGAGTGGAATTGCTGGATCTTAAGGTAGACTAATTCCCATTTTCCTGAGGAACCACCATACTGATTTCCAAAGTGACTGTACCAGTTTGCAGTCCCACCATCAGTGGAGGAGTGTACTCCTTTCTCCACATCCTCTCTACCAAACTGTCATTGGTGTTTTTGATTTTAGCCATTCTGACAGGAGTAAGATACTATCTCAGAGTTGTTTTGATTTGCATTTCCCTGATGGCTACGGATGCTGAGTACTTTCTTAAGTGTCTTTCAGCCATTTTAGATTTTTCTATTGAGAATTCTCTATTTAGTTCTGTACCCCACCTTTTATTTATTTATTTATTTGGGTTTTTGGAGACAGGGTTTCTCTGTATTGCTTTGGAGGTTGTCCTGGAACTTGCTCTGTAGACCAGCCTGGCCTCAAACTCACAGAGATCTGCCTGCTTCTGCCTCCCGAGTGCTGGGATTGAAGGTGTGAGCCACCAACACCCAGCTCTGTACCCTACCTTTTAATTGAATTATTTGGTGTTTTGGTAATTAGCTTCTTGAGTTCTTTGTATATTTTGGAAGACATCCCTCTGTCAGATGTGGGGTTGGTGAAGATCTTTTCCCATTCTGTGGGCTGCCATTTTGTCTTGTTGACTGTGTCCTTTGCCTTACAGAAGCTTTTCAGTTTCAAGAGGTCCCATTTATTAATTTTTGATCTCAGTGTCTGTGCCCCTGGAGTTATGTTCAGGAAGCAGTCTCCTGTACCAATTCGTTCAAGGGTTCCTCCCACTTTCTCTTCTAAGAGGTTCAGTGTGGCTGGATTTATGTTGAGGTCTTTGATCCATTTGGACTTCAGTTTTGTGCATGGAGATAGATATGGATCTATCTGCAGTCTTCTACATGTCAGCATCCAGTTATGCCAGCAACATTTGTTGAAGATGCTTTCTTTTTTCCATTGTGTAATTTTAGCTGTTTTGTCAAAAATCAGGTGTTTGTAGGTGTGTGGGTTGTTAATATTAGGTTTTTCGATTTGATTCCATTGGCCTACCTGTCTATTTTTGTGCTAATACCAAGCTGTTTTCAGGACTATAGCTCTAATAAAGCTTGAAGTCAGGGATGGTGATGCCTCTGGAAGTTCCTTTATTGTACAGGGTTGTTTTGGCTATCCTGGGTCTTTTGCTTTTCCACATAAAGTTAAGTACTGTTCTTTTGAGGTAAGTGAAGAATCTCTTAAAGAAGGCTCTGATGCATCCAGTAACTTGACCAGGCGTCCTTTGCCTGAAGTAGGAAGGGAAGAGCCCAAGTGTTCTGGAATGAACTGAGCTTGGAAACTAATAAACAAATTTGTTCAGCAAGTGTTAAAATTCAGCAACTCCTCCAACCTCAATGCAGTCTCTTCCTCCATCCTGCTCTATGTATGTGTCTTTTTGTGTGTGCATATATGTGTTTATGTATATGTGTACTATATATATATATATGCGTATATTGTATACATGTGGATGTAGGTATATATGTGTGCACAGGTGAAATGTATGTGCTGATACATGTTTGGATGTGTGTGTGTGTGTGTGTGTGTGTGTGTGTGTGTGAGCACTTGTGCATGCATACTGAACTGTAAAACTGAGCCTCGACTCAGGCAGCCATACCACCCTGCCTAGGAGTGGAAGATACAGTCCTAGC